CCTATGGGAAAGCGGCCGGGCTCAGAGGTTCTGTGACCTATGGGAAAGCGGCCGGGCTCAGAGGTTCTGTGACCTATGGGAAAGCGGCCGGGCTCAGAGGTTCTGTGTTCCAGATCAGCTGACGGTGAATCACAGACAATCCACTGAGACAAAGAGTTGGTTCTGTCTGATTCGTCACATGTTCCAGCGACACCCACAGACTGAATAATGGCCTAAAGCTGGATCTGATCCAAACAACAGGCTGGGGTTCTTCCAGTGTCCACTAGAGGGCGCTGCAGAAACCCTAATGATAACAATAGTGACAGGAATTATAGTGATAATAGTGAAACGGTGCTCATAAAGCCCTTATTTGGGTTTCAGAAGCTTCTGCTCTGCAGCTCCTCCAGAGTAACACCTTCAGGTCCATCTGAGGGAACCGCAGAGCTTTAAGGATCGACTGTAAATGTTTACATTTATTATTAATCCTTGAATATTTTATAGTTATTTTTATATTGCAGCAATTTGACACTGAAAAATATGAAATGCAGCTTTAATTAAACGATTAGTTCATTAGAAATAGATATAACCTTTATTGTTTCTATTATTAATGTTTGATTGAGAATTTTCTCAATTACTTTAGAAAATTATATTGAACTATTTAACATTTTGATCAAAAATGATAATTAAAATATATTTTAGATAATTCTAATTAACAGCTTCCAGCCTTTTAATTGTGGATAACTTGATTTTGTGGTTAATGCTGAGTTTTAAACCAGTTTGAAACTGGGTTTGAATTAACTCCTCGTATTCTGGCTAATTAAACGTATAACTGTAATTATTAAACATTAAACAATCAGAAATATCTCTATATAATCCAGCTGTTAACATAAAGGAATGATTTTAACACTAAAAACAAACCATCGAAATAAAATAACTGCAGGCAAACACATTTTATAAAGGCTAAACTTTATTAAACAAATAGTTCCTGTTACAGTTATTGTGTTTATTAATATTATTAGATCGCACTAAACTACTGGAAGAAGAAAGAAAGCAAAGGGGAATGATGGATTTCAGCAGTTCTTAGAGGATTTAAACATTTAATTAAGCGTTTGCCTCGTTGTTTTCTACAGGCTTATCTTTAACAGAAAATATTTTTCTAAACACCAGCATTGAGATGAATTTGGTAAATGACTTTAATGGAGCTTTGCAGGCTGCGGTTCCAGGCTTGGGTTGTGGCGCTCAGGGCGTGGGCGGCCTGAGGAGTCCCAGCAACAAACAGTTGTTTGTTTCATTGTTTGGATCCCATCAAAGGTCCAATCAGAAAGGGGAACTCTGTGTCTCCAGATATCCTGGGATCTGGATCATGGTTTGTCTCCATCAGTAAGACTCCAGAATTAGCAAAGTCCTGTCAAAAAACAGGATTGTACCAGGATTTCTGCAGGACTTTAAACTGGTCTCCTCCCAGGAGCATGGCTTACGGGAATAAAACTGACCTTCGCCGCGTTCCGAGACAAAATCCTGAGGGGAACCAGGACAACAAGACACACACTAAAACCCTCTCAATCCACTGGCTGCCAGGAACCAGGACAGGAGCCTTTGAACAAACTAAAACTAACAGAACCTAAAGACACCAAACATTGAACAAACAGAAAGCAAACAATGATCTGGCCTCGATAGCTGGGCTGGACCCAGCATAAAGGAACAGAAGCAGGTGGATGAGATGAGTGATAATTATAGATGAGTGAAGCGAACAATTAAGGTGAGCTATCAGGGCAGATCATGACAATATCTTATTTAAAGGAACAATAAGTGATCCAACGTGTTTCTCTTCTCCAACAAATCAAAATCACTTGAACACAACATCTTGGTGATGTCAACTTTTCCTGTAGGAGGGAAAATCTTTGATACATGAATGCAGCATTAATTAGCGGCTAACTGGGAAAGAGGAGCAAAGGAACGTCCAGTTGGGTTTGTTACCTACTGCATCCCAGCGGAGCTGCAAAGCATGCTGGGAGCTGTAGTTATTTTGCTAATGATTACTTTTACTCAAAAAATCATCATCCTAGGAGCAAAATGAAATATGAACCCAAGATCCTGGTGAAACAAACCATCAACACAGACATTTCCAGAATATAAAAAAAATACCAAACAATGATCAGTTGTTAAAGAGAATATAATAAAAAGTATGAAATGTGAACTGTTGTCAGATAACATCCAGAAATTTAATGAATATGTTTCTAATTGACTCTGTTTTAAAATACAAACAGACTAATGAAAGAATGAAGGAAACTAAAGACATCAGAGGTGGAAACGCTGAGTTTGTTTGGAGCAGTGATGGTTACAGAGTCTGGGAGGAAAGATCTGCGATAACGCCTTTAGTGCCCCTAGGGGCAGCCGTCTGTTAGCGCAGGAGCTCTCCATCTCTGAGCTCTGCAGCAGCTCCGTCTCTGCAACAACTTCTGCTTTCTGTGACATCATCTCCAACCAGACAAGAAGCTGTCAGACTATTGGTCGTCATCGGACAGGACTGTCTGCTGATTGGTCCACAGCTACAGGAAGAAAAAAGATGGACGTCAGCTCATCTTATCTGCTTATAGAGTTAACCATCCAGAGCTCATGCTGATTTACATGCAGGTTTCATAACTTTAAACTAAAATGACTGAATAATCCGGAGATCTGAGATTAGATTAGATCTGGATTACAACCCGGAGCTCAAATCAACCTTAAATGAATTAAGGTTTATTTTAACGCCATTCTTATTGTTTAGGGAACAAAATGAGGTAAATAAATGATTGTTGTTGGGCAGCCGACAACATGGAGTCAGATTATTCATGGACTTTATCAGTGGGAAGTTTCCAATGTTTAATTTATTCAAGAGTAACAGTTTCATTTATTTAGACTCAGTTTTACGAAAGAATTTTTCTTTTAATTCAAACCTGATTTCTGGATGTTTTACAGGAAACAAGACAATGGAGGGCGTGGCGACGGGTGTGGGCTCAGGTAAAACAAATATGGTTGGACATTCATTCATTTTATTTCTTAATGTTTTTCCTGCTTATTTTCTACCTTCAGAGACGGAACATAAAAACAGTGATAACTTCGTCTCATATATGTTTGCTAAAAGCTAAAACACTGATCTGTTCCTACTGGTCTTGGCTTATTTGAAGGCAGCGCCTCCATCACTTTGCTTCCATTTGTTTTAGAATAAATCAGCCGAGATGTAAAGAGAAATGAACCAGGTACGGAGGTGGCAGCATCATGGTGAGGGAGGAGGAGATACAAACCTCCACTGGTTATGATGTCCTGAGAATATTCAGATATAATCTCAGGTTCAAACAGACCTTTTAGAAAAATGTTTCTCCGAATTAGGAGGAAATCCAGGGAAGCTAACTGATCTTCAACATGTAGAGTTTCATTTTCTTTAATATCATCCAAGCAAAGATTCTAGATCTTTATATCTATATCTGAATGAAGCAAAGATTTAATGTTTAAATCTCTGATCTATGCCGCCAGTCGCTCAGAAGTCGACCGAACAGGCCAATGTGGTTGCTGACACAGCTGTTGCCGGGGCCAACGAGGTCGCCCAGGCAACAGTGGAAGGGGTGGAGAATGCAGCGTTGGCGAGCGGATTGGTCAAGAAGGTGAGTGATGTCACAGCAGGAAGTCTGACATCTTCTCACCTTTTAGATCTAAAATCACTTTTATGATTTTTTTCCAGCTACATTAAAATCTTTTTTTTTCTTACAATTAAAAACCGTGATTTTTTTTATTTTGTAATTTGTTTCTTTCATTTCTTAGCATAATTTCTGTCAGTAATACTTTAAAATGTGTTTTTGTTGATCTGATGAGGATGATGATGATGATGGTGATGATGATGATGATGGTGATGATGATGATGATGATGTGATGATGATGGTGATGAAGATGATGGTGATGATGATGATGATGATGAAGATGATGGTGATGATGATGTTGATGATGATGGTGGTGATGATGATGATGATGATGATGATGGTCATGATGATGATGGTGATGGTGATGATGATGATGTGGGTGATGATGATGATGATGATGATGATGATGATGATGGTGATGATGATGGTGATGATGATGATGATGATGATGGTAATGATGATGATGTGGGTGATGATGATGATGATGTGGGTGATGATGATGATGAAGATGATGGTGATGATGATGTTGATGATGATGGTGGTGTTGATGATGATGGTGATGGTGATGATGATGATGTTGGTGATGATGATGGTGATGATGATGATGATGATGATGGTGATGATGATGGTGATGATGATGATGATG